GAGAGCGTCAGTAGCCAGAGCCATGACTACAACAGGCGAACGCGCGACACCTAGGACAGACCCCTAACACCTACTATATCAGTGATGAGAGTTACAAGTCTGTACGTGACCAAGTGAAGTGAAAGTCTTGTTGAAAACAACAATGGCAGCGAAGTTCACGGAGTCGCGGCTACCCAGTGCTTGAGCCCCGGGGAGGCATGGTATGAAAGCCATTCACTCTCATGGTGCTCGAGGATATCAAGCAAACAAGCCTTAAAGCAGGATGTCACGAAAAAATACTTCTGCCTATCCAAAAGAAAGTGGTAAGATCTCGTTGACACAGTTTGTCCAGCCGCACCAAACGTGAACTCAGCGTCGGACCACTCCCTGCGATGTAATATATAGAATCACCTCAAGAGACGAAATCGAAGTCCGTGGGAAACACGAGTATGTAGGATACTTACATCTGTGTCGTCATGACATCAAGTCCTCATGAGAAAAAGTCACAAGCAACCATGTGCTCTGTTTTTGCACTCATACTACGCCGACAGTCCCTATCGCGGCAAACAGGACGCGGTCGCTCGGACATTCAGATCTAGGAATCAAAGACGAAAGCATGCTGAGGGGATGCGCCAACTATCTCTGACTCTATAACATCACCAACATAAAAGCGAGTCAAAAGGTTTTACGATTGAAAAACAAAATCATGCTGAGGGGATGCACGCACAGTCTCTACAACATCACCAACAGCAGTGTTTCCAAAAAGATACGACCAGCTCTCACGTGGCGCTTGCAGTGTCCAGTGTCCGGGTCAATCTTCGCGTCATAGGTCGTGTACGGAAACATAAACGGGATCTCCCAGAATGCCCCTGATCCAGACGCAGGTCAACAGTACTTCGATGAAGTCATCTTGCACCTGTGAAGACCAAGTCGAAACAAGACACAAACGATGCGAAGGTATGATTCCGGAAGCCCAAGCAGAAACAAGCATTCACAGCAGAAACGAAAAAACAGATCTAACACTGGTACATTGTACATATACATGATACGTCCCGCAAAATCTGTCCCTGTGGCAGAGCGGCCTCCAGTATCGCATCCGTCAGTGCCAAAGACATTGGAGCGGCAAGGTATGAACTTATCCAATCCGTTCGATATCATCCGACGCGAAGAAGCTGTCTGGAGCCAAGGCGCGGAGAGTGCCGTGCTTCGTGTCTTCGACAAGGCCTGTAATTTCCCAACACGAGGTCCTGTGGGATTGTCATGCAGAGCACTGAACATGTTCTTACTGCTATCTGGCCAGTGCTCTCAACTGGCTTCAATGCCGGCAGATAGCTTTGACCACAAAGCATTGTCGCACCCGAGCCAACAGCGATGTCCTTGCCCTTGTCCACGAAACGTCTCCCCCACAGACGCGCTGTAAACTCTTGTGCAGATTCATCTTTGAACCACAGGGTCATCTTCAAAGCATTGTCACCTTGCACCGCCGAGCCAACAGCGATGTCCTTGCCCTTGTCCACGAAACGTCTCCCCCACATATGCGCTGTAAACTCTTGTCCAGATTCATCTTTGAACCACAGGGTCATCTTCCGCACTTTCATCGAGGACTCCACTCGAGAGCCTCAGTGGCCAGATCCATGGCTATCAAAGGTGAATGTCTGATCGTTCTGAGAGATCCCTAGCACCTACTATAAGACTGATCAGTGTTACAAATCTGTATCTGACAAAGTATTCCAAACAACAATTCCTATTCCATCGTGATAATAGCTCCACTCTCACAGACAGTCCCTTCCAAGAATGGATCAATCACGAAGTAGCGGCTATCCAGTCGGAGCCAAACGCAAACAACATTCGCACGGTGGAATGATTCCAACGTTTTTGCGGTGCAAGCTGTGCGCGCACATTCCGCTGAGCGGAACTCGACGTCAGTGGCAAACACAAGTATGCAAGACTTTCCCTACGGAAACAGTCGCACGCAGCCAGGTGTTCTTTTTGCGCGCCGAGTCGATGGGGTATCAAGATCTATAGGAGTCCAAGACTAAATCAGGCCGAGGGGATACACGAACAGTCTCTACAACATCACCCAAAGCAGTGACTCTGAAGATCTATACGATTCAACTACAAAATCATGCTGAGGGGATGCGCGAACAGACTCTACAACACATCCCAAACAGCAGTGATTCTGATGCCGAGGAGACGCACGAACAGTCTCTACAACATCCCCAGCAGCAGTGATTCGCAAAAACACGACGAACTACCACTTGGCGCTTTTCACCTTGTTGGGCGTCGAATCCACCACTTGTCTCGTCCCGGGTACGCAACTCGAACCAAAAGCTTGTTCCGCAAGCATGCTCTGCTAGCAACCTGTACCCATTCAAACTTACAATGCCTTCCCTAGCTCCGCGCAAACGTCCAAGCTCCAGACACTCCGACCACCAAGTTCATCCTCCATCCATCCGCCACCGACACCTGAAGGTATTGTTTGCGTCATCACTGTTCAAACATCGTTGATAACTGATAACATATATCATCTAAATTCTGTATAGCAACCTGTACCCATTCAAACTTGCAATGTCTTCACTAGCTCCATGCAAACATCCAAGCTCCAAACACTCCGACCACGGAGTTCATCCTCCATCCATCCGCCACCGACACCTAAAGGCATTGTTTGCGTAATCACTATTCGAATGTCGTCGAAAACATATAACATTCAAATTCTGTCTAGCCAATTGCAGCACTGACTCCACGTAAGGCTCCAACCACAACGGTGCCGTCATCGCTCGACGCAGGTCCAGGCTCAAACTCTTCAAGTGCTCCACAGAACATCGTGAAAGAACCCCTCAAACATGCGAGACAGGAGATTTTCGAGCAATTCCGAGCAAGCTGATAGTTCAAATTCACGTCCCAAAGCCATGACCTCTAGACACAATGTAAACTATTCAGAGAAAAGATGTGTATAAAGAAAGAAGGAGAGGGCG